CTGACTGGCTGGGAGCCCAAACCAGCCAGTCGTCGAGGTAGGCCAACACCCGAACACCTAGGAGACGCAAACGAGCCACCACAACCCGTGTAAGGCGTGTGAACACGCGAGGTGCCAGGTTCAACCCGAACGGGAGACAACGAAAGCGGTAACTCAGACGCCCCACTACAAAACCGAGCCAGTCCCTGAACCGCGGATGAATCGGGACATGCCAATAAGCGTCCCGGAGGTCCAGGGACACCATCCAAGCACCCGGCTCCAAGAGGAGCCGAACCTGAGACAGCGTAGTCATCCGAAAGGAGGGGCAATGAACCCAGGGGTTCAGACGGGACAAGTCCAGAATGAACCGCAGGTCCGCGCAGTCCCGTTTCGGAACCGGAAACAGACGGGAAACCCATCTGAGGGACGACGTCGTTTCGACGACGCCCAAGCGTACCCACTCCAAGACGACTCGACAGAGCGCAGGGGAAGAAGCCTGCCCCGCCAGCCCCGACCCCCCAAAGGGGGGAGGGGCCACCCAACGCCACCGCAGGCCGCGAGACACGACCCGAAAGGCCCACGCCCCTACCCGACCATCGCCTATAGCATCAGCCTCAAGAACTGAGGTGTGGGTAGCCGGCGCGGGGGGTCTGGGGCTCCCCCTTCCCCCTCCCGGGGAGGGGGGAGCTGCGCAGACAGCGGCGCAGCAGTGTGTGACGTCACACTAATTTGCTTGTTTTCAGTTGGGGAGTTCTATCCACTAGTTCGGTATTAGGTAGCAATTTTAACCAGAATAGGGGTTTGTTTTGGGGCGCTTACCTTTCTGGGTGCCTGTTCCGGTCGATGGCAGACATAGAATGCTTCCAACTACACGGGGGCTTCTATAGGCCATTGCTCCCCTTGCCTCTCTGAGGGGGCCCGGTTCTGGCCGTGGTCCCCGGTAGGCCTAAGAACTCCATACACATGACTGATGCCAAAGTCTGACATTAGCATATCAGCCTGGGATAGCTCCGGGGAGCCGACGGGGCTCCCCCCAGAAAACAGCGTTGAATGTAATGAAATGCCATTTTCTGGGCGAGACACAGAGGCTCCCCGGAGCTTATCCAGGCTGATATGCTAATGTCAGACTTTGGCATCAGTCATGTGTATGGAGTTCTATGAGCCTACTGAGGACCACGAGCCAAAACCTGGCCTCCATAGAGAGGCAAGACGAGCAATGGCCTATAGAAACCCTCGTGTGGCATTCAATCTCTGCCATTGGCCGGGTCAGGCACCCAGAAAGGTAAGCATACCAAAACAAACCCCTATTCTGGTGAAAATTGCTACCACAGGCCGAACAAGTGGATAGAATTCCCCTTAAAGAAACTAGTAAACGATCATGACGTCACATGATGCCGCACCGCTGTCCGCGCAGCTCCCCCCTCCCTAGGAGGGGCAAGGGGCAGCCCCAGACCTACCATGCCGGGTATCCATCATCAGTTCTGAGGCTGGATGTCAAAAAACACAAAAAAATACGCCAACCGGAGAGAGGGAGAGATGCCGGGAATCTCCAGCCTCCGACACAGAAAATGGTGTTTCATTACATTCAACACTGGTTTCCCAGGGGGAGCCCCTTCGGCTCCCCGGAGCTAACTACCCACAGAGGAAATAAGAGGGACGTACCCGGGTGGCGACAGCACCCCGGAGCTAACTACCCACAGAGGAAATACTGCAAGAGGGATGTACCCGGGTGGCGGTCGCCGCACACTCCCCAACTCAAAGTAGAGACAACTGACTGCAACCGCCAACCCAAGGCGACACAGGCCTGAATTGGAGCGGGAACGACCATGAGATATGAAGCAGCCAGGACCCTGTACAACCCCCAAAAGCCCTGTGCCCAAATGTCAGCCAGGACATGCTGCCAAGATGGCAGCAAGAGCAGCGAATCTACGAACGTCATGGGCACGGGGATAGAACGCAGGCTGGCTAGCCTCAATAACACGGCAGACGACCTGGGAGACCCTCACCCGCAAACAGGGAAGAAGGAAACCGGATCAACCCAAAGCGCGTCCCAGACACAGAAGCCGTGGCGTACAAATAACAGCGGAGGACTGCAACCGGACACAAAACAAGATGCACCCCAGGCCCAACCAACCAAGCACCAACAACCAAGGACCCCTCCAGAAAGCAGCAGTCTCATTCTGTGCCAGAAAAGAGGGAGACGGCTGCAACCGAACAAACCTATCGCCACGACCGAAGGAGCAGAAACCCCTGCACCGAAGGAGAGCAGGAAGCTCACCGACCCAACCCCTAGAGGCAAATGCCAACAGGAGAAAGAGCCATCGAGAAACAAACCCGAACCGAAGGGTCCACAACAAATCGAGGAGAAGAAGAAAGAGCACACTGTCCAAAGACCAGGACGGCTCAGGCAGCGCAAGAGCAGGCCGGAGGTGAAACAACGCATGAGACAGCTTACGAAACAGCGCATATGTAACACCAAGACCGAAAGCAAGCTGAAGCGGCTCCACCAGCACCACACGAAACGAGGCGACAGAATGCAACAAGGTGACGGCCCCGAACCTCCACCAGAAAAAAAAGTCGACGCCAACAAACGCAGCCACCTAAGAAGGGACATAAGGAAAAGGAAGGACCGCCAAAAAAAACCCATACTGCCGTCAAGAAGAAGAACGCAGGTGGGACATCAGCAACGAAGCCACCTGACCACCAACCAAAGGTAAGGGACTCGAGGCAGAACCTAATTAACCCCCCATCGCAAGCGAGCTCGCCAGTAGATCGGAGACTAGGGGTCCGAAGCGAGACTCCAGAGAAGGGACACCTCAAGACCCTGAAAATGTCAACAGGCAGGGCAATCAGACTTCTCTTAAGAGTTATCACATAATTTATAGGTTGTGTGGGGGTCTATGTTCTCCTATTCCACATTTCATAACATGGCATTTATATACATTACAATTCAATTTGCCAAGTGGTGCTCCATATACTTATTCTGTCCAGGTCTTCTTGAAGGGTATGACAATAATCTAAGTTATTTATCTTCCCTATTATCTTAGCATTATCAGCAAACATGTTCATATAATTCTGTATTCCATCTGGCGGATCATTTATGTAGACAATGAACATCACCGGTGCAATAACTGAACCCAGTGGTACTCCACTTGGGAGATGTCTCCAATCCGATACACTTCCTCTTATTACTGCACTCCTCTTTATATCAGTCAGAAAATTTTTCTTCAATGTCACCCCTCCAATGTCTTCCACTTTCCAGAACAACCTCTTATGTGGAACTCTGTCAAAAGACTTTTTTAGGTCCAGATAGATGCAGTCAACCCAACCATCTCTTTCCTGCAAAATCTCTGCGGCTCGATCATAGAAACCGAGTAAATTTGTTACACAGAATTTTCCAGATCAAAAATCATACTGACGGTTTGATATTATATCGCTTGTCTTCAGGTATTCTACACACTTAGTATTAATTATTTTTTCCAATATACTGACTATTTCACTAGTCAACGATACAGGTCTAATGAACAAATCCACAAGGGCCATGACGAGGATTCGAACCTGCGTCCGGGAGCATCCCAGACACTGCCGAACCTGCTCTCGGACGCAGGTTCGAATCCTCGTCACGGCCCTTGTGGATTTGTTCATTTGATGCATCACGTTAGTGTGATCTGTGTGTGATACAGGTCTATAATTGAGGGAGGGGGGGGGGCTTCTCTGCCACTTTTGTAGATTGGAACTGTTAGCCTTTTTCCACACATCTGCTACGACTCCTGTACACAGGGATGTCTGAAAATTCAGGTGAAGTGGAATGCTGAGCTCAGATGCACATTCGGTCAGAACCCATGGTGAAACTCCATCTGAGTCAACTGATTTGTTCTTACTTAGCTCCTTGAACATGTTTTCCACTTCGCCTCTAGACACATTTATGCGCTCTATGTTGTTGTAGGTGTGAGCTATACTAGGCCTAGGAATATTTCAGGTTTTTAGCTTCATTTTTCAGGCTATAAAATGAATAGTACCAAATTCTACTATCTAATGGCCTAGTACATCAATGTTTGTACTATGGTGCACATTGCTACAAAAAGTACTATCTAAACAGGAGGATGGGTTGACATTTCTTAGTGTCTCTTAAATTGGTTGCGAGACTGCAGCGTTTAATAATTTGGGAGATCATTTGGACCATTGATTTGCATTGCATTTCTGCTTCGGTCAAGTCTCACTCTACGAATATAAAAAAAAGCTTGTTTCTCATATGGTGTTCTTGAGTTCCATTACAATCTCTAGGAACCACCAAGGGTCAGGATTGGCATTGCAGTTCACAGTTTTAGATAGAGAACACTTGAGAGTATATGCAGAGACTTGATAGTTAACATGTTCAAAGGTCTCAGTAAGAGAGCAGAGCTCAGTCTGCCTCAGATTCCAGATTCCAGTCTGGGACAGCAATTTGTGATTGTTCTAATTGTTGATTTTTGTTGAGCAATTAGGGGTCGGAGGAAATTAAGGGTGGTGGATCCCCAGGCACAGATACCATAGGTGAGATAGCGATAACCTCTGCCCGAAACGCTTTGTGTAATGGTGGCTTTAGGCATTGTATGTACTAGCTCTATCTATAAATTCATCCATATTTGTATCACACCTTGTATTTATGTACTTTACCTGAATAAACATTTGAATTTTGAATTTGAATTTGATGAGTGAACAATACAGAGGAACTAGGGCAGAGGGAGGAACTTACTATCTGACTTTGGAGAGAATGCCTACTGTTTTGGAAACATTTTTAGTAATATTTTGTATATGGCAATGGAAATTTAGTTTGTTGTCGATGTGAACACCACCAAGGGATTTCCCATCTACTCTGCTCACAATTTGGGTATTGTTAATTCTTGGATTAATTTGACTGTTGGATTTGTTACCAAGCAAAATGTAAAATGTCATGTTGATGACATGATTTGTGCCCAGGAAGGGTTAAATATTGGAAACCCAGTTGTATGAGAAAATGCAAATAATAAAAATAATTAAACTTACTGAAATCTTTAATAGGATGGTGAAGCTTTCCCTCTAGTTCCATGATCTCTTTTCTTCTGACTTTTAGTTCAGCCTTGGTCAACTTTTCTTGAAACTTAACCTCCTATAAAAAAAGACACATCTATTAGCAGAAAAATTGGCAAATATGAATGTAACAAAATATTTGGAACAAGTAAAGAAAGTTGGAGGTTAAAATATTCAAGATGGAATTTGAAAAGCTCCTGCAGGAAGTATGGGATCATCCAAGCTGTGATAACTGTGAACCTACATGCCATAAATACAAATAACTTCATTGAGGCAACCAGTGAGGCTGCGATTGTAGAATACTCTCAAAACTGGCCACAGATAAGAGGTCTTCACAGAATTGAAGAACATAGGAGCGTGAACACCAGGTGCTCAATTAAAGGAAGTACAGAGTAAGAATGTGTAAATGACAGATGTATTTATGAAAAAGATAGGGAAAAGGAGGGTTCATGAGCAACACGTTTTCCAAAAAAAGGAAGTAGAGAGAATGTCTAATTATACAGGAAGGCTCCACTGTGTTATTGTTGTCTGAGACTAACCCACGAGGCCAGAACAGACCCTTGCGGGATAGGTGGAAAGGACCTAACAGATGATTCGGAAGACTGGCTCAGTAAACAACCTAATCACCCATATTTATGAAAGGGGGGAACAGAAGTTGGTACATGAAAATACATTAAAACTATTCCACTCTAAAGAAGAATTACACTTGCCCCATGTAGCTCTAGATGATCACGATAAAGATGAGGCCATATAAGAAGAAAGCGATCCTGTTACAGTTGTTGAGCGGACATGTTCGACCTACCCATGCCATGCAGACCAGATCTAAAACTAGGTGTGGATGGGGAGAGCAACAGTGAGGGGGTGGGGGGGGGAGAGCAACAGTGAGGGTGGGGGGGGGGAGAGCAACAGTGAGGGTGTGGGGGGGGGGAGAGCAACAGTGAGGGTGTGGGGGGGGAGAGCAACAGTGAGGGTGGGGGGGGGGAGAGCAACAGTGAGGGTGGGGGGGGGAGAGCAACAGTGAGGGTGTGGGGGGGGAGAGCAACAGTGAGGGTGTGGGGGGGGAGAGCAACAGTGAGGGGTGGGGGGGGAGAGCAACAGTGAGGGTGTGGGGGGGGGAGAGCAACAGTGAGGGGTGTGGGGGGGGGAGAGCAACAGTGAGGGTGTGGGGGTGGGGGGGGGGAGAGCAACAGTGAGGGTGTGGGGGGGGAGAGTGAGGGTGGGGGGGGGAGAGCAACAGTGAGGGGGTGTGGGGGGGGAGAGCAACAGTGAGGGTGTGGTGGGGGGGAGAGCAACAGTGAGGGTGTGGGGGGGGGAGAGCAACAGTGAGGGTGTGGGGGGGGGGAGAGCAACAGTGAGGGTGTGGGGGGGGAGAGCAACAGTGAGGGTGTGGGGGGGGGAGAGCAACAGTGAGGGTGGGGGGGGGAGAGCAACAGTGAGGGTGTGGGGGGGGAGAGCAACAGTGAGGGTGTGGGGGGGGAGAGCAACAGTGAGGGTGGGGGGGGGGGGAGAGCAACAGTGAGGGTGGGGGGGGAGAGCAACAGTGAGGGTGTGGGGGGGGGAGAGCAACAGTGAGGGTGTGGGGGGGGGAGAGCAACAGTGAGGGGTGTGGGGGGGGAGAGCAACAGTGAGGGTGTGGGGGGGGAGAGCAACAGTGAGGGGTGGTGGGGGGGGAGAGCAACAGTGAGGGGGTGGGGGGGGGAGAGCAACAGTGAGGGTGGGGGGGGGGGGAGAGCAACAGTGAGGGTGTGGGGGGGGGAGAGCAACAGTGAGGGTGTGGGGGGGGAGAGCAACAGTGAGGGTGTGGGGGGGAGAGCAACAGTGAGGGGGGGGAGAGCAACAGTGAGGGTGAGCAACAGTGAGGGGGGGGGGGAGAGCAACAGTGAGGGTGGGGGGGGGAGAGCAACAGTGAGGGGTGGGGGGGGGAGAGCAACAGTGAGGGGGGGGGGGGGAGAGCAACAGTGAGGGTGTGGGGGGGGGAGAGCAACAGTGAGGGTGGGGGGGGGGAGAGCAACAGTGAGGGTGTGGGGGGGGGAGAGCAACAGTGAGGGTGGGGGGGGGAGAGCAACAGTGAGGGGTGGGGGGGGGGGGAGAGCAACAGTGAGGGTGTGGGGGGGGGAGAGCAACAGTGAGGGTGTGGGGGGGGGAGAGCAACAGTGAGGGTGGGGGGGGGGGAGAGCAACAGTGAGGGTGTGGGGGGGGAGAGCAACAGTGTGAGGGTGGGGGGGGGGAGAGCAACAGTGAGGGTGTGAGGGGGGGGGGAGAGCAACAGTGAGGGGGTGGGGGGGGGGGAGAGCAACAGTGAGGGTGTGGGGGGGAGAGCAACAGTGAGGGGTGGGGGGGGGGAGAGCAACAGTGAGGGTGTGGGGGGGGGAGCAACAGTGAGGGGTGGGGGGGGAGAGCAACAGTGAGGGTGTGGGGGGGGAGAGCAACAGTGAGGGTGGGGGGGGGGGGAGAGCAACAGTGAGGGTGGGGGGGGGGAGAGCAACAGTGAGGGGTGTGGGGGGGGAGAGCAACAGTGAGGGTGTGGGGGGGGAGAGCAACAGTGAGGGGTGGGGGGGGGAGAGCAACAGTGAGGTGTGGGGGGGGGGGGGGGAGAGCAACAGTGAGGGGTGTGGGGGGGGAGAGCAACAGTGAGGGGTGGGGGGGGAGAGCAACAGTGAGGGTGGGGGGGAGAGCAACAGTGAGGGTGTGGGGGGGGAGAGCAACAGTGAGGGGTGGGGGGGGAGAGCAACAGTGAGGGTGTGTGGGGGGGGGGGAGAGCAACAGTGAGGGTGTGGGGGGGGGAGAGCAACAGTGAGGGGTGGGGGGGGGGGAGCAACAGTGAGGGTGTGGGGGGGAGAGCAACAGTGAGGGTGTGGGGGGGGGGAGAGCAACAGTGAGGGGTGGGGGGGGAGAGCAACAGTGAGGGTGTGGGGGGGGGGAGAGGAGAGCAACAGTGAGGGGTGTGGGGGGGGAGAGCAACAGTGAGGGGTGGGGGGGGGAGAGCAACAGTGAGGGGTGGGGGGGGGAGAGCAACAGTGAGGGTGTGGGGGGGGGAGAGCAACAGTGAGGGGGGGGGGGGGAGAGCAACAGTGAGGGTGTGGGGGGGGGGGAGAGCAACAGTGAGGGTGTGGGGGGGGAGAGCAACAGTGAGGGTGTGGGGGGGGGGGGGGGGAGAGCAACAGTGAGGGTGTGGGGGGGGGAGAGCAACAGTGAGGGTGTGGGGGGGGAGAGCAACAGTGAGGGTGGGGGGGGGAGAGCAACAGTGAGGGTGGGGGGGGGGGGAGAGCAACAGTGAGGGGGGGGGGGGGGGAGAGCAACAGTGAGGGTGTGGGGGGGGAGAGCAACAGTGAGGGTGTGGGGGGGGGAGAGCAACAGTGAGGGGTGGGGGGGGGAGAGCAACAGTGAGGGTGAGGGTGGGGGGGGGGAGAGCAACAGTGAGGGTGGGGGGGGGGGAGAGCAACAGTGAGGGTGTGGGGGGGGGAGAGCAACAGTGAGGGTGTGGGGGGGGGGAGAGCAACAGTGAGGGTGTGGGGGGGGAGAGCAACAGTGAGGGTGTGGGGGGGGGAGAGCAACAGTGAGGGTGTGGGGGGGGGAGAGCAACAGTGAGGGTGGGGGGGGGAGAGCAACAGTGAGGGTGTGGGGGGGAGAGCAACAGTGAGGGTGTGGGGGGGGGGGAGAGCAACAGTGAGGGTGTGAGGGTGGGGGGGGAGAGCAACAGTGAGGGTGTGGGGGGGGGAGAGCAACAGTGAGGGTGGGGGGGGGAGAGCAACAGTGAGGGGTGGGGGGGGAGAGAGCAACAGTGAGGGGTGGGGGGGGAGAGCAACAGTGAGGGTGTGGGGGGGAGAGCAACAGTGAGGGTGTGGGGGGGGGAGAGCAACAGTGAGGGTGTGAGGGGGGGGGGGAGAGCAACAGTGAGGGTGTGGGGGGGGAGAGCAACAGTGAGGTGGTGGGGGGGAGAGCAACAGTGAGGGTGTGGGGGGGGGGAGAGCAACAGTGAGGGTGTGGGGGGGGGAGAGCAACAGTGAGGGTGTGGGGGGGGGGAGAGCAACAGTGAGGGTGTGGGGGGGGGAGAGCAACAGTGAGGGTGTGGGGGGGGAGAGCAACAGTGAGGGTGTGTGGGGGGGAGAGCAACAGTGAGGGTGTGGGGGGGGGAGAGCAACAGTGAGGGTGTGGGGGGGGGAGAGCAACAGTGAGGGTGTGGGGGGGGGGAGAGCAACAGTGAGGGTGTGGGGGGGGGAGAGCAACAGTGAGGGTGTGGGGGGGGAGAGCAACAGTGAGGGGTGGGGGGGGGAGAGCAACAGTGAGGGGTGGGGGGGGGGGAGAGCAACAGTGAGGGTGTGTGGGGGGGGAGAGCAACAGTGAGGGTGTGGGGGGGGAGAGCAACAGTGAGGGTGTGGGGGGGGGAGAGCAACAGTGAGGGTGTGGGGGGGAGAGCAACAGTGAGGGTGGGGGGGGGAGAGCAACAGTGAGGGTGTGGGGGGGGGAGAGCAACAGTGAGGGGTGTGGGGGGGGAGAGCAACAGTGAGGGTGTGGGGGGGAGAGCAACAGTGAGGGTGTGTGGGGGGGGAGAGCAACAGTGAGGGTGTGGGGGGGGGGAGAGCAACAGTGAGGGTGTGGGGGGGGGAGAGCAACAGTGAGGGTGTGTGGGGGGGGGAGAGCAACAGTGAGGGTGGGGGGGGGAGAGCAACAGTGAGGGTGGGGGGGGGGGGGGAGAGCAACAGTGAGGGTGTGGGGGGGGAGAGCAACAGTGGGGGGGGGGGGGAGAGCAACAGTGAGGGTGTGGGGGGGGGAGAGCAACAGTGAGGGTGGGGGGGGGGGAGAGCAACAGTGAGGGTGTGGGGGGGGGGAGAGCAACAGTGAGGGTGTGGGGGGGGGGAGAGCAACAGTGAGGGGGTGTGGGGGGGGAGAGCAACAGTGAGGGTGTGGGGGGGGGGAGAGCAACAGTGAGGGTGTGGGGGGGGGAGAGCAACAGTGAGGGTGTGGGGGGGGGGGGGGGGAGAGCAACAGTGAGGGGTGGGGGGGGAGAGGGGGGGGAGAGCAACAGTGAGGTGTGGGGGGGGGGAGAGCAACAGTGAGGGTGGGGGGGGGGGAGAGCAACAGTGAGGGTGTGGGGGGGGGAGAGCAACAGTGAGGGTGGGGGGGGGGGAGAGCAACAGTGAGGGGTGGGGGGGGGAGAGCAACAGTGAGGGTGAGGGTGGGGGGGGGGAGAGCAACAGTGAGGGGTGGGGGGGGGAGAGCAACAGTGAGGGTGTGGGGGGGGGTGGGGGGGGGGAGAGCAACAGTGAGGGTGGGGGGGGGGAGAGCAACAGTGAGGGTGGGGGGGGAGAGCAACAGTGAGGGTGTGGGGGGGGGAGAGCAACAGTGAGGGGTGTGGGGGGGAGAGCAACAGTGAGGGTGTGGGGGGGGAGAGCAACAGTGAGGGTGTGGGGGGGGGGAGAGCAACAGTGAGGGTGTGGGGGGGGAGAGCAACAGTGAGGGGGGGGGGAGAGCAACAGTGAGGGTGTGGGGGGGGGGGAGAGCAACAGTGAGGGTGTGGGGGGGGGGAGAGCAACAGTGAGGGTGTGTGGGGGGGAGAGCAACAGTGAGGGTGGGGGGGGGAGAGCAACAGTGAGGGTGTGGGGGGGGGGGGGGAGAGCAACAGTGAGGGTGTGGGGGGGGAGAGCAACAGTGAGGGTGTGGGGGGGGAGAGCAACAGTGAGGGTGGGGGGGGAGAGCAACAGTGAGGGTGTGGGGGGGGGAGAGCAACAGTGAGGGTGTGGGGGGGGGGAGAGCAACAGTGAGGGTGTGGGGGGGGAGAGCAACAGTGAGGGTGTGGGTGGGGGGGGGAGAGCAACAGTGAGGGTGGGGGGGGGGGAGAGCAACAGTGAGGGGGTGTGAGGGGGGGGGGAGAGCAACAGTGAGGGGTGGGGGGGGGAGAGCAACAGTGAGGGGGTGGGGGGGGAGAGCAACAGTGAGGGGGTGAGGGGGGGGGGGAGAGCAACAGTGAGGGTGTGGGGGGGGAGAGCAACAGTGAGGGTGTGGGGGGGGGGAGAGCAACAGTGAGGGTGTGGGGGGGAGAGCAACAGTGAGGGTGTGGGGGGGGGAGAGCAACAGTGAGGGTGTGGGGGGGGGGAGAGCAACAGTGAGGGGTGTGGGGGGGGGAGAGCAACAGTGAGGGGTGTGGGGGGGGGGGAGAGCAACAGTGAGGGGTGTGAGGGGGGGGGGAGAGCAACAGTGAGGGTGTGGGGGGGGGGAGAGCAACAGTGAGGGGTGGGGGGGGGGGAGAGCAACAGTGAGGGTGTGGGGGGGGGGGAGAGCAACAGTGAGGGTGTGGGGGGGGGAGAGCAACAGTGAGGGTGTGGGGGGGGGGGGAGAGCAACAGTGAGGGTGTGGGGGGGGGAGAGCAACAGTGAGGGTGTGGGGGGGGGGGAGAGCAACAGTGAGGGTGTGGGGGGGGGGGAGAGCAACAGTGAGGGTGTGGGGGGGGGAGAGCAACAGTGAGGGTGAGGGTGGGGGGGGGGAGAGCAACAGTGAGGGTGTGGGGGGGGAGAGCAACAGTGAGGGTGTGGGAGAGGGGGGGAGAGCAACAGTGAGGGTGTGGGGGGGGGAGAGCAACAGTGAGGGTGGGGTGAGGGGGGGGGGGAGAGCAACAGTGAGGGTGGGGGGGGGGGGAGAGCAACAGTGAGGGTGTGGGGGGGGAGAGCAACAGTGAGGGTGTGGGGGGGGGGGAGAGCAACAGTGAGGGTGAGGGGGGAGAGCAACAGTGAGGGTGTGGGGGGGGAGAGCAACAGTGAGGGTGGGGGGGGAGAGCAACAGTGAGGGTGTGGGGGGGAGAGCAACAGTGAGGGTGGGGGGGGGAGAGCAACAGTGAGGGTGGGGGGGAGAGCAACAGGGGGGGGGGAGAGCAACAGTGAGGGTGTGGGGGGGGGAGAGCAACAGTGAGGGTGTGGGGGGGGGGAGAGCAACAGTGAGGGTGTGGGGGGGGGGGAGAGCAACAGTGAGGGTGTGGGGGGGGGGAGAGCAACAGTGAGGGTGTGGGGGGGGGGGGAGAGCAACAGTGAGGGTGTGGGGGGGGGAGAGCAACAGTGAGGGTGTGGGGGGGGGGGGTGGGGGGGGGGAGAGCAACAGTGAGGGTGTGGGGGGGGGAGAGCAACAGTGAGGGTGTGGGGGGGGAGAGCAACAGTGAGGGTGTGGGGGGGGGGAGAGCAACAGTGAGGGTGTGGGGGGGGGGAGAGCAACAGTGAGGGTGTGGGGGGAGAGCAACAGTGAGGGTGTGGGGGGGGGGAGAGCAACAGTGAGGGTGTGGGGGGGGGAGAGCAACAGTGAGGGTGTGGGGGGGGGAGAGCAACAGTGAGGGTGTGGGGGGGGAGAGCAACAGTGAGGGTGGGGGGGGAGAGCAACAGTGAGGGTGTGGGGGGAGACAATAGAGGTGGGCAGCCTGCTTGCCATGTGAGGGGCCCTCCCTGATGCCAAAACAAACCCAATACCGACCTACAGTTCCATCGACTGCCAGTCCGGTATATGAGGCTCCAGATACCCAGGCATAGGTACAGTGTAGCATAATGTGCTTAAGATCATACCTATTTGACTTCTGCCATGTGTACTAAAGGCAAAGCATCTTACCACATATCTGTTGGTGTGCTCGTATGACTTGAGGTGGGTGAGCATATTCTCCTGGTTGATGCGACTCATCTGGCAAAGTTGGCACGAGAAAGTCATCTGGTTGTAGTAAATCTCCTTGAAAATGAAGCTCACACCTGCAACACCAAAATGTGTTCTTTACACTAGAGCAAAGGTGTCAAACATGCAGGCAACCACCCTTCCCACGCGCGGCCCGCCACCCTTTCTCCACATAAGACCAGAAGTCATGACAGGATGTGCAAAACACCCCTACTGAAGAACAGAAGTGCAATAAGCATCAACATCAAAGGGCCAAGACTTTTCAACACTCTTCCCCTACTCATACAGAGCCTAACTGGCCAATCTCTGTGTTCAAAAAGATAACTCGACAAACACCTTCAAAGGATATCTGATCAACCAGGCTGTGACTTTCACAAGGCTTACAGGTAACTCTGAAACAGGTACTCTGAGAGAGAACTCTATCAACATCAGAGGCCCGAGACTGTTCAACATGCTTCCACTACACATAAGGGGCATAACTGGCAATCCCCTCACAGTGTTCAAGAGAGAACTGGATAAGCACCTCCAAAGGATACCTGATCAACCAGGCTGTGACTCATACGTCAGGCTGCAAGCAGCCACGTCCAACAGCCTGGTTGATCAGTCCAGCAACCAGGAGGCCTGGTCGACGACCAGGCTGCGGGGACGCTAAGCCCCGGAAGCACCTCAAGGTAACCTCAAGGTAAGGTAAGGCTGCGAGCAGCTGCATCAAACAGCGTGGTGGATCAGACCAGAAACATGTAGGCCTGGTCAGAGACCAGGCTGCAGAGACACTGATTTCAGGAATCTTCAACAGGTAGGTAGTCAGGTCACTGGTTGAGGTTACTCGCCAAGGTTATTGGACCAGGTCACTGGCCGAGATTACTCTCCCAGATCATTGATCCAGGTCATTGGCTAAGGTTCTTGGATCAGGTCACTGGGTGACATCTCTGGTCCAGGCACTGCTTAGCCAAGGTCAATACCCAGGGTACTTACTGCTGGGTAAGTACCCAGCAGTGAGTACCAACAAGTCACTGGCCCAAATTACTAGCCTAATTATATTAACAAATATTCACCCAACTCTCAAGAGAACCAGTCAGGTGAAACAGAGATCCTAAGAGGATGAACACTGGAATGTCTCCGATCAGACAAGAACAGTGATGACGAGGAGAGGAAACTGAAGTGGTGGGTGAAGGCACAAACAGGCATTATACAATGAAGGAACAGTGACCAATAATCTCACTCTTAAGGATTCCCACCCAGGTCTAGTGAGGTTCACAAACAACCACAAATGACTCCCATTATGACGTTCCTGCTAACCCTACTGACTGGCTTAGGTTTAAAAGTAAAGAGAATGACACAAAACACTCACCAATAATAGGGACGGTTGAATCAATTATTTCCTTCTCGAGGCTTCCCGTGGGGAAACTTTTATAAAACATTCCCAGTTTTACACCGCTCACTCCTTTTGCAGGTTGAGGTGGTTGGACTGACATTTGTTGCACAGATGCTCGCTTCTGCCGTACAAAAAAAAAAACTCGTCAATGTCTTTCTAGTCCTCTGACAGTAACTACATGATCAAAAAATTACCTAAAATATTAAATGTAATAATACAAACGTTGTTTTTGCAATATTTTGAGAGAAATTTACTGGATGTAGTACTGTACAAGTAACTGATTACCATTAGCAAGAACCAAAGTAATTCATATACAATTCTAAATGCAAAATACCAGAGTTGAATGTAATGAAACGCCATTTTCTAGGTGAGACCTGGAGGCTCCCCGGAGCTATCCAGGCTGATATGCTAATATCAGACTTTGGCATCAGTCATGTGTATGGAGTTCTGTGGGCCTACCGGGCACCACAAGCCAGAATCTGACCCCCTCAGAGAGGTGCGAGGAGCAATGGCCTATAAAAACCCCGTGTGGTTGGAAGCATTCTATGTCTGCCATCGACCAGGTTTAGGCACCCAGAAAGGTAGGCGTCCCAAAACAAACCCCTATTCTGGTGAAAATTGCTACAAAAACCCGAACAAGTGGATAGAACTCCCCAAACAGAAACGAGCAACCGAATATGACGTCACGTCGTCGCGCCGCCATCTGCGCAGCTCTTCCCTCTCCGGGAGGGGGAAGGGGGAGCCCCAGAATCCCGCGATGGCCATCCACACCCCAGTTCTGAGGCTGGATATCAAAAACACGTGAAAAACCACCGACTGGAGGGAGGGTTGCCGGGAAGCCTCCGGGTCTCACCTAGAAAATGGCATTTCATAACATTCATCTACAGTCTCCGTGGTGCAGTGGTAAGACACTCGCCTGGCATCGCGTTCCGCGAGCGCTATGTCATGGGTTCGTATCCTGGCCGGGGAGGATTTACTGGGCGCAATTCCTTAACTGTAGCCTCTGTTTAACGCAACAGTAAAATGAGTACTTGGATGAAAAAACGATTCTTCGCGGCAGGGGATCGTATTCCAGGGACCTGCCCGAAACGCTACGCGTACTAGTGGCTCTACAAGAATGTAACAACTCTTGTATATATCTCAAAAAAAAAAAAAAAAAAAAAATTCAACTCTGGTTTTCTGGGGAAAGCCCCATTGGTTCCCCGGAGCTACCTACCCAAAGACAAAAACAAGAGGGATCTAACCCAGGTGGCGGAAGTCGCTAACTCCCAAGCGTGAAGTAGAGACAAAAGATTGCAACTGCCAACCTAAGGCCATACAGGCCCGACAAAGCCCAGGAACATCAACGAAGGCACGCATAGCCAACCTACGAACAACGTGGGCACGGGGATAGACAGCAGGCTGGCAGGACCTAACCATCCCACGAACGACCCGAGAGAACCGTACCCTGGAACAGGGAAGAAGGAAATTGACAGGAACAACCCAAAGTGTGACCCAGGTTACAGCAGCCATGGCACACAAAGGACGGCGAAACGCCACAACCGAACAACACATGATGCACCCGCGGCCAGACCAACCAAGCATCAACAACCCAAGGACCCCTCCAGAAAGCAGCCGCATCAGTCATTGACAGAAAAGAAGGAGATGTCTGCAAGTGAACAAATCTATCAGGAGAACCAAAAGAGCCAAACCCCGGCGCCGGAGGAAAGCATGAAGCACCCCGACCCGACCCCCCGAGGCCAATGCCAACACGAAAAAGAGCCTCCGAAAACAATCCAGAACCGAAGGGGCCACAACAAACCGAGAAGAAAAGAAGAGAGCACCCAATCCAAGAACCATGACGGCACAAGCAGCGCAAGAGCAGGCTGGAGGTGAATTACGCCAGAGACAGCTTGTGAATTGGTGCAGAGGGAACATCAAATCTGAAGCAACCTGGAGCAGCTCTGCCAGTGCCACACAAGACAAGGCGACAGTATGTGGTAAGATGATGGCCCTGAACCCCCACAAGAGAAGGGCAAGACCACTCCAACAAAACGCAGCAAACACACTAAGGGATAAAAAGGAAAAAGGAGAAGAAAGGACCGTCGCAAATACCCACACCGCCACCGAGACGAAGCACGCAGGTGGGACACCATCAACGAAGTCACCTGATCACCAACAGATGGTGAGCGACTCAAGGCAGAACCGAACCAGCCCCACCATGGACCGATTGAGCATAGAAAGAGGTGGAGCCGCGGGATAACCTCAGATGCGAACACCGAGCAAGCAGAGCAGGAAACCCAAGCCGGCAAGGAACCAGATGGAACGTTTGCCATACAGAAAACTTCCCAATGCTAGTGAGCTTGCCAAGAGATCGGAAACACTGTGGTTCTGACACAACACTCGTGAGAAGTGACACCGCGAGATCGTGAAAATGCCAACTGGCAGGACAAGCCAGGAAACCCGGCAAACCAGGAAAGAACCAATCCGGGTGAACAGAATCGCTCCCCCCCGAGACTCCTGAAGGACCAGAAAAAAGGCAAAACGCAGAAGCCGCAAACAGCAAGGACAAAATTGCGATGAAAAACGAAGAGTCAGGGCCCGGGCCCAGGCCGAGGCCAAGGAAGCAAGCACCGCGAACCGAAACGCGAAGCGAAAAGCAGGGACACAGCAGCCCACAGGAGCGGAGAATGCAGCCCCAACAGGGCAGAACGAAGCATGCAATACCGAAGAAGGTATGAAGAAAACAAACCAGGACATGAACAGCACAAAAACAAAAATGCACCACCCAAAAAGAAACAAAGAAAAAGGCCGGAGCCAGGACCCGAAGCCTAGCATTTCCCGGCCAACGAAAAGAAGCTGCAGGGGCAGGAGGAAGAACAGAAGCTACATTCCCTTGCATACAGGGCAACCCATAAGCTGGAAGTGCCAAACACGGAGAAGAAGAAAACTCGGGACCAGAACCGAACACAGGGGCAGTGTAAAAGCAGGGAACTGAGCATGGACAAAGTCCAACCTAGCATTAGTAGAGCCAAGCAGCACATACTAAAACACACGACAATGTGTAGGAGAGAAGGAGAACAACAGAAAAATGTAAGGAAAAGACCAGAAAAACAGCCCAAGCACCAGTAGCTAGGGACAAGAGTGTAGAAGATGAGGAACGAAGAAGACAGGCAGCAAGCGAGAACAATGGGACATGACCTACCACACACAGAGAAGCCAATGTATATTTATTTATTTATGCATATACAAGAAGGTACATTGGGAATGTGAGGATACATAATATGGTAATTACAGTCTTGTAAAGCCACTAGTACGCGCAGCGTTTCGGGCAGGTCCTTAATCTAAGAAAATTTTAAGTAGGTAAATACTTGCAAAAATTTATAGACAAAAAAAAATGATAACAGTTACATGGAATGAAAAAAAGAAGATGAGAGAAAATTGTAGGTACAGTATATTAAAGCACATAGGTAGCTAAGATTGATTGCAATGACAGCTTGAATGGTAGTTGACAAAAATTGGTAGTCACAATACAGCATATGGCTAGTACATAAAAGAAGGCAGCAATGAACACAAAGATAAGGTTGTTTGATACTACATAAAAATTAGGAGATTGGATAACACTAGGTACAGAGCAAATTTAAAGCTCAGTGTAGGAAACTAAGAAGATGAAATTAGGTACTTTTTGGTTTTGCTTTTAAATAAGGCAAAAGTTTCAGTTTTTCAATTCACTAGGGAGTGAGTTCCATAGACTAGGTCCCTTAATTTGCATAGAGTGTTTACACAGATTAACACTTTCGCTCACCCCGCGCGCTACCCCTCAACTGTGCGATATGGGACCCAGGGTGTCACGGGAGCGCACGTAAATTCTGAAAAGTGTATACTCTCTTCAACTTTGTCACCTTAATTCTCGTCCTACGAGATTAAATTTGGTATCATTGTGTTCGCAATAGAATTCTCTGCAGCACTAAATGCATATAAACTCCAAAAGCCCGGCTAATTACCACAGCAAACAGAGAAAGTGCGAACGAGTTACCCAGGAGCGCGCAAACGCGATAAAATGTTTTCACTATTTTCACTCTGGTCACCTCAATTTTTGTCCTAGGTCTTTCATTTTGGTCTCAATGGGTTCGCAATAGAATTCTCTAGAGGAACATTAGCATATAAAATATAAAACCTGGTCACGCTCCAACCGCCGAAGAGTTGAAGACGGGCCACGCGTTAGCCGCGAGTGAGCGCTCAGACGCCTTCCAGCTACACTCCCAATTCCCTCCCTTTTCAAGCCTTTCTTTCGCAATTTTCTTCCTGGAAGGGCCTTGTTCATGATCACTATCCAACGTGGAGTAAAAGTAGATAGTTTCTAAAGCCGCAGTAAGAAATATAGCCACGGAAAATAGCCAAAATGTTCACACGTTTGAGATGCGAGGGGAGGCGACATTGGTCACAACAGTGGAGCGAAAACAATGGGCCCATGGCGTGTGCCAAGCCACCTGAGGGCCAAGAGGCTCAACAAAGAAAATGGGAAGACATCGGCGCACATTTTAAAACCAGTCCCCAAAAAACCAGCGTTGAATGTAATGAAACGCCATTTTCTGGGTGAGCCCCGGAGGCTCCCTGGAGCTTATCGGGCTAATGTATGTTATGTTAGACCGGGACATTAGCTAAGGAGTTCAGACCTACCAGGGACCAGCGCCAGAACCTGGCCCCTTCAGAGAGGTTTCAGGGAGCAATGGCCCTGGAAAACCCCATATGGTTGGGGTTTTCCTTATCTGCCATCGACCGGGGTTAGGCACCCTGAAAGGTAGGCGTAACAAAACAAACCCCACATGGTAAGAAACTACAACAAAAACCGAACAGAGAGGTAGAAAACTCCCTACAATCCCAAGGAAACAAGCAAACATCACACTTTACTGCCGCGCCGATCGTCCGCGCAGCCCTCCCCACCCCGGGAGGGGGAGGGGGGAGCCCCGGACCTACCGCGCCGGCTGCCAAGCTCCAGTTCGGAAGCTAAGCTTCAACCAACGCGAAAAAACCGCCGACCGGTGGGAGGGAGGGTTTCCAGGGAGCCTCCGGGGCTCACCCAGAAAATGGTGTTTCATTACATTCAACGCTGGTTTTCTGTGGGGAGCCCCTACGGCTCCC